CCGATTGCCTTCCTTCTAATAAAATTTTAAGGCCGGTAAAACTTTACGTTGAATTGTTCCATATTCCTATCCAGACGTCACTCTGCTGACTTTCATTGTTGCCAGGCACCAACCAACCCACGTATATTGTACCGACACGATCAGCAGTCTTCGATCTAATGACGGTGCTAACGTGCCCAGATGCGCTGTCACCTTCATACCTCACCGATTCCCAGCTTATCATTGAATGCATGGAAACAGAACAATCAACCACCACGTGCCCAGGTAATAACTACTGCCAAACTCAACCTAATTATGAATCTTACGTGTATTTCAGCTCCTGCCAGATGTGTCAGAGCTCCTAGAGATGTGCTACATCGATCCGTATGCTGTACGGGCACGACTGAAAATAAAACATAACTGATCATTTTTCCACTTTACTGCTTACAGACACATTTGACCTTATAATAAACTATATATTTTGAAATCTTCATACAGCCTTTAAAATCATATCACCGTGTAAAAGCCTATGAAACATCCAATTTTACAAACATAGAAATGATTCAGAGACATAAAACAAAAAAGTTTGGGAACGCCATGCAGTGATTGTTAACTATATATCAGAATGTGGTAGAAGACAAACGTGAGGTACAGCACAAGAAGGCAGTACTTCAGACGTGGTCCGGATAAAGAATGCTTTGAAATGCCTCAAAAAAGCTGCCCTATTAGGAAGGAAACCGAGAATTCTAACCAGTGCATGTTGTTCATTGGCAAGATACCCTAGGAAGGCAAAACATTTGACAAGATGACTAGCGTAATTTATATACATAGCAACACTCGAGACCAGAACCGTAAACAATAATCACACAGAGAAATACTAACAAAGTGTTTCAATATAAAACGGCATTTAGGAATGAGTAAAAANTCGCTGTAAAACTTAAAACCCATAGAAAACTGAGTCAGCACTGTTACCAAAGACTAATCTTGAACTACCGGCGGTGAATAAAGCTAGTACACTTATAAGAGAGTGAGTAAATAAAGCAGTACAAACTTTTAAAAATAAGCTAGAGTTCATCATTGTCATCAATTCTCAAATGTTTAACGGCTATTGAGGGGCGAGTGTGTTTGGCAATTTCCAAATCTGCTTTTGCTTGAATCCGTTTGCAACCAGAACTCGAGAATACTTTCTGTTCTTGCGGGAAGTACTGAAAACAAAGTAACATAGGAGAAATTGAACACTATTAAGATCTGTCAAAGGCTATACCTGTAGAGAATCGACAATCCGCTGCACTAATTCATCGTCCTTAACGAGATCTTCCCTTCCTTTCGACCTAAGGTAGCCAATAGTGCAGAGTATGACATGTCGCCGCTCCATTGGAAGAAATGGAACGAAGTGGTCAATTAAATGGCTTGAAATCAATTCACACAGTTTCAATCCTCCTGAAATTCAGTAGCCTTCCAATATTTTACAACGGTTAGCGGTACCTTCAGAAATACAGTAGGCTTCAAATAAGATTCGACCTGGCTCGTTATAGGCTGCCTGCATTAGCAATCTCTCGAAATTTTTGAGCGTCAGATCCTCGCGAGGATTACCAGATTGATGATGGCTCAGAGCCAAATTTGCGATCAACTGCCCACCACGATTGCTAAATGTGACAACTATAAATGACAAATCTAACCTAAAAAATTGCATTGAGAACATAGAGAAGCATGGAAATATGAAGAGCCCTCAGATTTTTTCAAGCGTAAATGTCTATCTACATTAAGGACTGATCAACCAGAGAAAGTATGGCTTGCGCATTGTGAATTAGTCTCGGCGATTATCGAAAACTAGCCAAACTGCTGGCATTTAGCACCGTCTAAGACTGCTTCATAAAGGGAAATAGTTAGATTATTAGGGATATAATTACAGGTGGTGGGATACAGCGTCTTTGAAGGCAATCGGGACAAGTATAGAGCAAAATTAGGAATACTTTTTGGCAAAGGAATAAAGCATGCATTGACTGAAGAGCAAAGAAGGGCAAGACACAATAATGTTCAATGTCTTAATAAAGTGAAGCTTGCCTCAAGAACAGAAATGTACTTTTCCGGAAGTCGACACCTCCAACAGTATCATAGTAATCAAGAAATGGCTTCACAACTTCTGGAAATGTCAGAGTCTAAAGTGTTACGAATCTAGGTGAAGTTTACGACCTACCAAGTAGCTGCTCAGGAAGTTTATCAGCTTCGTCAAAAATTATCATAGCTCTGTTACATTTCTTCACTGCATCCAGTATTCGAGCCCGTAATTGTCCCTAACGAGGTAAACGCATGAGAAAGAGAAAAGCCATGAAAAAAACATGACAATAACAAAACAGAGCCCGATGTCGGGGGAACGGGTTCACATAAGAGAAACGCTTTGGGAAACTCATTGAGAAGTGTACCTTGTACTCGTTAATCTTGTCTTTATCATAGAACTCGGAAGATGCGACAATCTGGTGCACAAAGTTGCTTCTCATACCATTTCTGAAATCGCCATTGGTTACAAAAAAAACTGAGATTCTGTAAGAAAGAATGAAGAAGAGGAGATTTTCTCACACAACCTAACGTGAGATAAGACTTCCTAGGAGTCTTTTCCGATCTTACTTGAAAGTGCTATTTGCAATGATTTCGGCAACGTAGTTCTTTCCAGAGCCAGTGAAACCATGAAATGACATTGCTAAAGGCTTTTTAGGTTGATCGTTTGTCCAGTGAGCGCGTATGGCATTCTCGACAGTATCAACCACTAGATGTTGCCCATACACTAACTCTTGTAAGTCACGATGCAGTTCTAAAAACAGATGGTTTTAAATATTCGCCAAATAAGCGTACTGAGCAAGGGACTATGTGCAACATACACACTTGCCGCGGAGTTCTGGGTTTTTTCTTGAAGCGCTTGTATAGATTTAGGATTATGTCCCACTTGCAGACTTTCCACTTAATAGGCAACTTGAACATGCCTCACTTGGGTCAACACGAACAGGTAATCCGACGATTAGAGACGAATCCACCAGGCACTACTCCTATGCTAGTACCTGCGTGGACACCTCCGCTTTAGCAGCGTTCACACAGGTGACAACCTTTTGAACCGCCGCATAGTACGCCATCGATACATTCTTGAAGCTTCCCTAACGCACAGCAATTGATTGCACTCTGGTCCAAGTTAATACCTAAGACTATGGTGACGCGGTGTGCACTCGTGCACTGTGTGAACAGCAGAGCAACTTCTTCGCTCTAGCGTTTTCTGGAGCCATCACAGGATTCGCTATACTCGACAGCCGTCCCTACCCCCTTCTATCTGTCGCATCTCCTGTCTATACTTTGGCTTCGGCGAGGTCCTCTTGGTCACGTTCCGCCACTACTTCTTAGGAGCTGCTCGTGGTCGCTTTCCTTGAGCCTCGCACTCCACTGACTCTCTTGTTGGATGATTCGGTGAACATTTTATTAAGTGTACGTGTCATCCCTCAGCTTAAGCTTGATAGCAGATGCTCGCATAAACGTACTGACATCTGGCGTTGCAGAGTAGATTAGGCCCTTAGTGGTGCCTGCGCACGAGTCATTAGTGGTAAGAGTTCAACTCCCAAATCAACGAAAACTTCAAAACATACTATCAAATCTTGGATTCAAATATGGGTGATCGCAACATTCATATAGCCGACATTTGATTTTGTGCTGAAAGGTCCACAGAGCGCCAGTTCCAAACGTTACTGCTGCACCTTCAAAAGCAACATATGGAATTAGTTTCTGGAGGTTAGACAAAAATTTTAATGTACCTGTGAACAGTGAAAATGGCTCTGGCAACACGTCTCTCACAAAGAAAGTGATTGTTGCCAAAAAGAGCAGTAATATTCGCATTTAAATCTGTCAAAACAGTATAACTTATTATAACTTCTCCAACAAGTTCGAGGAATCAGATGGAAAAGACTAGCAAACAATGAGTGCTCTATAAACACTGGGAAGCTATCATACCATACACATCACCTGAACACAACCCTTTATGCACGAAAGTATGATACAAGCAAAATTATAAGTGACATATACAAGGCACAAAGATATGTCGCGTTAGAGTGTTAGGAAAGATGAATGTTACATTTCTAGGTGTTTTGCGAAGGGTTGTAGAAAAAGTTAGAGATCGTTAAGAAAGCAAAAATCAAAAACAAGTTATCAGTCTTCTGCAAGCGCTTGAGCGATCCGTAATTGTGATAAGGCTCTCGAGGTAGTTGATCGTTTTCCAGCTTCACGATCCCATTCCCAGAGCACGAACGATTTCTGCCTGGTCTCTATATCGAAAGTGTTTTGACCTAAAAACTAATCCCGGTAAGTTGTTCGAAGAAAATGAATGAAAATGAGCAAGGGGTAGAAGGAGGTGGAGGGGTGGTGTAACACCTGACAGAATCAAGAGATAGTGATCTGGCACAATTGAGTGAAGGGAAAAGGAATTTGCTGTTATGTTTGAATGTAATGCTTATTGGTAGAATAATTCAGTTTGTGGTCAACACAACTGATCGAACGGGTGTGGCAACTATCTCGTTGTAAATAGTGGTTAATGCTGGACGGCCAGTCGAAGTCAAATGAAGAGGGGGATCAGATGGAGATAGCGTAATAACTTCACGATGAAAAAATGCAAGAAAGTCAGAGGCCCAACTAAAGCGAATGGAAAACTTAGCAAATCGCATACTGTGGCATTTGCAGCAAGCACATCTTAGAATAAACAAAAAGTCAAGTCAATTGTACCAGTGATCAGACTAGCTTTTCTTTGCAGCGCCTAAGATAGACAGCGGACCTTGCACGTCTAAATGCGCAAAGCTCTTTTTTGAAGTTGTTTAGGTTGCACATTTTGTTCATGACGTCTTGGAAAACTGCCTTTACCGCTACCCACTACAAGTGGCAGTATTTTTGGTAAATGACGATTAATCACGGACGACTTCATACAGGATTACCAATGCTATTGAGTTTAAGAGTAGAAAACGTTGCCGAATTTAATTGATCTGGTCAACATGATCGACAGCCCTGGATTGTTACTTCCCAGTGTCACATATCAAGATTCCAACGGAGCACCAAATACAATTGATCATTTAGTAGATGTTTCTCGCCTCCAGGAACCTAATCCTCGCATTATAAGAGCAGTATGCCAAGAATTGCGAGAATTTTTGAACCTATTGCACTCGCGGTCCCCTTACCATCATCCTACCCCAATTACGTTCAGAGATTGATTCGTTTTCAATACAAAAAAAAA